AGGTCAAAATTTAAATTTCCCAGTAGTTTTCACAAGCGCCGGGAAAAACAACATAAAAATTAAGGAAAAACGAGAATTTTTACGCAAAATCGGTTTTCCAAAAAATCGATTCTGGTTTTTGGTGTAACTCTAAAACAAATGAACGTATATACATGAAATTTTCACTGGTTGTTTATATTTGCATTTTCTATACACGATAACATTTTCAAAATATTTTGATTTATTTTGAACTGTTTAGGGACATTTTCATTTTTCGTTTTTTTTTAGTTTTTTTTCTAGAAATATCAATAAAATTTTATTTGTTGGTTGCGAAAGCTTGAAAATTTAATAGAAGGCTCCTAATATATTGTTTCAAAGGCAGATGAAAAATATTAAAAATCCTTAGTCACAATTTTTTTTTATAAGCATTTAAAGTTCAAAAATTGACAAAATATGGAAAAATCACGAAAATTAGCAAATTATTTTGAGTTAAGAATTCGTAAAAATTTTTCTTTTTAAATCTAAGATTTGAAAATCTAATACAAGATTACTCATAAGATTGTCTACCTTTATCAATAAAAAAATCTCTACCGGAAAGTCAAATTAAATTTTTATGAGCGTTTGAAATTCAAATTTTTACAACATTGGATATTCACTCGATTTCTCATGTGGCAATTTCCTTTTTTTGTTGTAATTAAAAAACGAATTACTATAGATACATGAAAATTTCACTGAATGTTTGTATAAGAATTTCCTATACACCATACAATTTTGAAAATATTTTTACTCTTTTTGAGCCGTTTACGGACATTTTCAGTTTTCAATTTTTTTAGTTTTTTTTTCTATAAATATCAATTAAGTTTTATCTGTTGGGCCAAAAAGTGTAAAAATTTAATACAAGGCTCCTGATATATTGTTACAATATCAGTTGAAAAATATTAAAAATACATAGGCACAATTTTTTTTTATAAGCGTTTTAACATCGAATTTTGACAAAATTTTTCAAAATCTCGAAAATTATTAATCATCGTAATTAATAAATTATAAAATGTTCAGTTTTTATAGCTAAGGATTAAAAATTTAAAACAAGATTCTACGTAAGTAGTTAATTCTCTTACCGAAAAATCTAAAAAATATACAATCACAGTTTATTTTTATAGTCATTTTATGTTCAAATTTGGACGAAATTTCATATTAAAAAACCTAGTTATTTTGTTGTGATTATATAATATTATTCGTGGGTACGGGGTACCTACTTGAAACTTCTAAAGTGTACTATTATATATCTATGATAGTATCAGGGTTTGTTATTGATGTTGATGTATAACATGTTATAAGTACCTAATGGATATTGTGATAATGTGATATGATTAATTTGGAATTTATTATAAGTCAATTTTTTTTTTAATACCATAGATATGTATATAATTTGTCTTAAACCTAGACTGACATACCGTCTTCGCTCAGAATCGTTTTTCTTATACAATGATATTGTATCATTGAATTCAAATTTAAAAGCATCCATTATACAGTGACCCACTTGTAACCTACTGTACAGCAGAGCGACATCCACTTACCCACCTTTTTTTTATGAATATCAATAAAAATTTATTTGTTGAGTAAAAATACTTGAAAATTTAATACAAGGCTCCTACTACTTATATTGTTTCAAAGACAGATGAAAAATATTAAAATCGTTAGTCACAGTTATTTTTAAGCATTTAAAGTTCAAAAAATGACAAAATATGGAAAAATCACGAAAATTTGCAAATTATTTCGAGTTAGAAATTCATAAAAATTTTTCTTTTTAAATCTAAGATATGAAAATGTAATACAAGATTCATTATAAGATTTCCTACATTTATCAAAAAAAAAAATTCTATAAGAAAGTCAAATTGAATTTTTATGAGCGTTTGAAATTCAAATTTTTACAACATTGGATATTCACTCGATTTCTCAAGTGGCGATTTCCTTATTTTGTTGTAATTCAAAAACGAATTACAGTATATACATGGAAATTTCACTGAATGTTTATATTAGCATTTCCTATACACCGTACAATTTTGAAAATATTTTGACTCTTTTTGAGCCGTTTACGGACATTTTCAGTTTTAAAATTTTTAGTTTTTTTTTTCTATAAATATCAATTAAGTTTTATCTGTTGGGCCAAAAAGTGTAAAAAATTAATACAAGGCTCCTGATATATTGTTACAATAGCAATTGAAAAATATTAAAAATACATAGGCACAATTTTTTTTTATAAGCATTTAAAGATCGCATTTTGACAAAATTTATCAAAATCTCGAAAATTATCAATCATCGTAATTAATAAATTATAAAATGTTCAGTTTTCATAGCTAAGGATTGAAAATTTAAAACAAAGGTGCCATATCAATCAATACAATAACCTGCATCGTACTATGCATTGTAATACGCACTATCGTCATTTTTAAAAATAAGATATATAGACGACAAATAATATAATAATATACTTTATAGACGGGCCACGGGCGATCCGATAGCGATAAGCTCGATGTTCAGTGTTCACACACACACGAAACACGAATTTAAAGATAAACAAGATAAACAAAATCATACACATTTCAAAATGTATAGCCGTAAAAATAAGTACCAATTTAAAAGCACAAATTTGCGCCCCTTCATAATTTGCGCCCCTGGCGTAGGCACAGTTCGCCATACCCTTGCTACGCCACTGTATGCATTCATTTAATTTTAGCATTGAAGAAAGTATATAGAGATGGACAATTCGGGGCCCAAAATTGAAAATTGTACCGGGCCCATAAATTGGTGAATCAGGCCCTGACTATACTGTTTATACTTTGTACAGTATTTCCATATAAGTTAAATTCGAATGATGTACCTACATTTAAACAATAACTTTAAAATAAATATAACTTTAAAATGATTATAAATTTAAACAATTCGCGGTAAATATGTTTTGACATGAAAACAAAATAGACTGAAATACCTAGTGAGATATAGTTAAATTAAAAACATAATTAATTTTATTATCTTAATAGGTATGACAAATTAATTTGTTGATTTCACGCTAATCGAAAAAGAAATTTATTAAGTTAACAGTTGAGTTAACGAAAAACCAAAAGTAACCAGTTAAGTTAAAAAGTTAAAATTAAATTAATTTTTTAACTTTTTAACTCGTTAATGCCCAGTCTTGATTGGAGCTATGTTTTTTTTATGGAGGTCAATTCTCCAACGGCGATATCTTATAGTCGTATACGACATTCAGGAATTGTCGAACGATTTGTATTATTTCTTATTCTTCAATTGTATACGAAACGCTTGTTAAGAGGACGCCACACCCGCATGTGTTGTCTCCGTCTTACAAACGCGTAACATAGCAAATTACGTCCACGGAAAACAAACGAATCGGCATCAAAAAGTGGTTTTAGAGTAAAAATACCTATAATAAAACTTAAAGAGAACAATATTTCGGAGGGAACCTCATAGGGGTTTTGTATTAATCTAAATACACAGCTAGATATTGAAGGCACAAAAACTCTTTTTTTAATTTTTTTAAATAACCACAACTTTTTTAATAGTTAATATTTTTAAAAACGCCGATGAGGTTCCCTCCAAAATATTGTTCTCTTTAAGTTTTATTATAGGTATTTTTACTCTAAAACCACTTTTTGATGCCGATTCGTTTGTTTTCCGTGGACGTAATTTGCTATGTTACGCGTTTGTAAGACGGAGACAACACATGCGGGTGTGGCGTCCTCTTAATGAAAAGTCGTACGACTTCAAAACGTATGACAACAACCTCTCGTCAAGAAGTTGTAGTCGCAGACTACTTTGTATGCCTCCATGGATAATATTGTATTAATTACAATAATTACACACAATTTATATTATATTATTTACGACGTATCACAATAGTTAATAAATAGGGGTCGACGAAGAACAACGAGAGAGAGAGAGAGAGCCCGAGCTAACTAGGAAATACAAAAAACGGGATATAAAAATTATTTTATAAATTCCTTTGATACTCACGAAATGTGAGCAAGAATGCAAGATACGCACAAAATTATTATTATCTATATCTGCAAGCAATTGATGATAAGAATAATATTCATTATTTATTCAATATAATTTTCAAATAAAAATAAATGTTTATTCTTCAATTCCGTAGCTTCGTCTTTCTGTGTTTTTCATTTGATCACAGCCGCATACAATTTATAATATTATAATATTATTATCTGTGATTTGACTTAAAAATACAGTGGAACCTCCATAATTCGAACCTCTATAAAATGAATTTTCGATAACTCAATTTTTTTTTTTTTGCCCCCAACCGATTAGAGATATTGAGGTTTTACTGTACTGTCACAAATATAATATTTTATATTTTCTATTTTGTTTATTTAAAATGGTTCATTCGTGCTCTGCAAAAGGCTGCAAAACTAAGAGCTTCTAGGTTCTAATATTTAATTCCACAAGCAAGTGAAAATGTTATCTTTACATATTATACCATGTCAGTAATGCCCGCGTAGCCACTCGCTATCTGTTTGGACAAAAAAAATTGAAAATATCTCTCGACTTGCTATACAACACCCTTTCAAGTTGGTCGCAAGGTAACCGCCGTGTATCCACTCTTAATGGCAACTATTCAATTTAAGTAGTGGTATAGGTATTAAGAGTGGATGTACCCTGTGACCATATTGAGGATAGCAAGTCAAGGGATATTTTCGATTTTTTTTTTTTGTCCAAACACAACTCAGCGAGCATATGGCAAGTGGCAACCCAGCCATCACTGATGTCCCACCAAAAAAAGAGTATCCCGTAAAGTAGGAAATGGTATACGTATAACAGAAAAAATCCTGAAAATGTTATAACATTTTATTATAAATAAGTATACATTATGCACAGTCAAAATAATATACATATATATTTATGTAATTTACTTTAATAAATATCTTGATTCTAATGATATACCAAAACCAACATTAAGTTGATCCTTGTCTAATGGTGAGCATTTATTATTACAGGTTACTACCGGGTGCGCGACAGTCAACAAGACGACGTGCCAGCATGAAATTTTCCCCTAACCACTCGGAATAATGTCTTATTGAACTATCAATGGATAGAAGATGCTGGGTTGCATCCTGGAAAATAAGATCACTGTACGGTTCTGGTGACTCGAACATGCTAAAACTGAAATTAAAACAAATTTATAATTATACAGTAGGTCAAATATAAAGATTGTCAACCACTCACGTAAACTTGTCAACAGATTTCCTGCCATACCACTGCTGGGCAGCCATTAACAGATTGGTGAATGCAATCACTTCGGTATGATTATAAGCTTCACCTCCACGAGTTATAACAGCGTTAGCTTTGACTCTACCCAAGCTACACCTCTCGTAATCATGAACTGATGATCTGCCTGTGTAAAATAAAACAAATTATATTGTTGTTAAATATATACATATTGGTAACATCAAATTTATTCTGCTGCTAATATAAAATTTTGCTAAAAATAATACTATATTAAAAAAAAAAAAAAATTCTAAAATTTAAGGTATTTGGACAATTTTTGTTATTGACAAAATTATTTTGATAATTAATATACTATCTATATAAATACTGATTCTAAAAAATGTAGTGCTCGCCATTTCAAATTTCCAGATCTGTGATTAATTTACTTCTCATCATATTAGGTTAAAAGTCATTGACTGATATAGATATTTAATGAGATTGACACTGAGAAGTTGAAACAATTATGTTTTATGGAGACATTTTGTCACAGTAAAATTTAAATTACATACAAGGTTAAATTAAATAGATAAAGGTCTCTTATGACGTATTTTATGTTTAAATAATTGAGGTTTATTAAGTCATGTTTCTTTAAAGTACCTATGTTAAATCTCTGAGCAGAAAATGTGAGTATGCAATAAATATTGAACTTTTAATTACAGTTTTATAATAGTTTAAGACCGTAGTAACGCATTTATAATACACATTCCATTGGTATTTTTTTTTAGAATTATTAATATAGCAATAAATTAGGTTAGGTTAGGTTTTATGTGACTATCAAAAACGTTTAACCTCTCTAATTATAAATAAAATATAATACAAATGTTATTTACCTACTATTTGTTATTATTATTTATGCCTAAGATGAATATAAAATATGATAATTTGGATACTAAATAAATTTAAGAGTAGAATTGCATAAAAATATATTTTAAAATACCAACATTATACTATAATATTATAAATCTATTAAAGTTATTGTAAATTAATGTATAAATTAAATTAATAAAATGCCTGTTGCCTGTTTGTGCTATTACTGAAGATAGCAAAAGTCAGTATTAAAATAAAATAATAAGTAACTATATATTTGAACTATTTTTTTACCTAATATAAGTTTTTTTTAAATCAGCTACTGATTATATTTAATATTATTATTCAAGGTTTAAATTGTAAAGGTATTTTGTACATAAAATTAAGAAAATACATTCTTAAAATGCATGTTTGAAAGTTAAAATAAAAGAGTCATGCTTTTAGTCGGCTCTTGGAATTAAATGTGAACCTTCAAATATAATTTACTTTAGTGCTAATTTTTTTTTTTTTTATTTGTTTCTGAGTAGACAATGAATAACTTGCTAAAAAAAATTTAAAAAACAACGTTTTTGAACATCAATATTTTTTATCAAATCATCTGAACCCCTTAGAAAGTAATTGCCGACGACCCTGTTGTAAACTGAAATATTATATTATGATACATTTATAAGCAATTTTAAATTGAAATAGAATAAAATATGGTAGTCAGAAAAAATTACCACCACAACTACCATGTGTGGCAATACATACTTTTGAATACTAAAATACCCATTTGAATGGATAAACAATATATCTTTAAATAAATTGCAATTTTACTGCCCAACTAATGATGAACATTTTGATATTTAAAGCAAAGTACAATTACTTTATTTATACTGTTGAGTTTAGGGAATTTACTTACATAGTTCTACAAATTGTATCTGTAGTTGCTAGATAAAAACCACTGTATAGCGGGTATATAGCTCGTCATAGAGTAGGTTAATTGTAATTCAATTTAAATTTAATAAAAAAAAATCTTAATTTCTTATACATTTTTTTCTCTAAGCTTTTTATTCGTATGCATTTATTTTACAGTTCCGAAAAAATATTTGAGTTGATTCAAAATTCAAAAAAATAAATAAATAAACATAATCCCAGAATACAAATAATCCAAAACCATATTATTCTTTCATATCCAAACATTCAATATAAATTTCTTCTAAGCAATGATAAATAATTGAAATCAGAATTTTTTAAAATTAAAAACATTATAAATAACATGCAGAACAAAAACCTACAGTCTACTAGACTGTTATAGATTTTCTAACTCTGTTTTAGTATATAAAAACTGACCATCAGGACACAGAAGTTCAAAATCATCAGTTAAAGTATTTCTTGCCCACAACTGTTTGCGTCTTCCACCTACATTCTCATACACTGTGGTATGTTTGACAAAAGCTACATTTCCACCACCTTCGACCAAACACCTTAAGGCTCCTATGAAAAAAAAATAAAGTTTATAAATTCATTTTTAGTATTAGTAATAATTAATAAATAATATAATAATCTTTTTAATTCTAAAGCGACTTTACCTGTGTAGCCATAAAAGTCTTCAGTGGAATCACGTTTGCAGTACCGATAAGTAGAACCTCTACATAGTTGACAAAGGTTATAATAAGGTAAACCTGAGTTAAATTCATTGCTTAATGCACCGGGTACACAAGATTTACTAAAGTATTCAGAGGCAGCTTTTATTGAGTCACATCCATAACTTCGTATCCACCCTTTATTCATCAAAAATGCCATTGGTATAATCCATCCACCACCAGAATATAAACTCGGGTGACATGTCATTTTACCTAAAATTGTGGGCAACAGTTATAGTATTTGTTTGGATTTTTTATTTTAATAATATTAAGCATCGGCAACTATGGCCATTAGCATTTTGTAGGGGTTTACGGATGGTCGAGGAACACGTGTATGTTGGGCGAGGATTTCTCACTAAAAACCCAAGTGGTCACCCATCCGGGAACTAGAGATGTCGGCCGATTCTTGACTTCAGAACACATTAGTGACAGAGGCCAACCACCGAGTCACACCAGCACCCATAAGAATTTTTAATAAGTTTAAAACAAACCTTTTAAAAATGATATTTCAGTATCCCGGTCCTCTACTTTTGCAACAGCCACAACATAATATTCTGGTTCAGGTAGATCATACACTTCAGTGATAAATGGTATTTCATCATAATGCAGTCCAGCGGTATAAATATCGCCAGCATCCATCACTGCAACATCTGCATTTCTGTTAACACCACAAGCCATAAATATTACTAATTTGTTTGTTCACTGTATAGAGTGATTACAATTTAGTTTTAACATACCCATTTCTAATGGCTTGCATACAATAGACTTGACTGTAACCTCGGAAACAATGCAATTCAGGAACCAAAAGTTGAACTTTTAATGCCAACTATTGCATACAAAAAGAAAATTAATAACAAACTTGTAAAAAATGAACATGTATAATAAATTTACCTTCATTTTAATACATTTATCCATTTCTGGCTCAGACGTTACACAGAGTGTCATTTTGGAAACAGGACAATACCGTAATCCGTGTATAATGTTCATTGCTTCTCCTAAATAACTTGTATATGTTTGTTGGGTTCCATTTATAGGTCGTAAACCTCTTGTTGAGTCCTACAACAATAAAAGCAATATTTTTTATTTATTTTTAATAATTGTTAATTTGTATAAATATTCAAATTCTTTTAAGTATATTAATTAATAACATAGTGAATCAACAACAGCACTTTTCAACACTGGCTTTTTATTCTATAAACAGTAAACACAATGGGTCCTAAGAAATTATCGCGATTGTTTTTCCAACTTCACTAATGACAAATGTATATGATATTAATTTTATTTTTTATAAAATATAAAATGTATTTTAGCATAAAATGTAAATGTGTATATTTTCATTGAAACAAAATTAAATATAGTTCTATAAAAAAGTATGTAATTTTGTGCAAATCTTATAATTTATAATACATTTTTAACCTGTTTTATTCATGCTAATAAAATCTACTAAATTATAAGAATAAAACAAAATACGTCTAAATTTTATTTTTATTTTAAAATAATTTCAAGTGTTATATTTATTTACATGCATTTATTTGCAATTTATACTTAAAATAATTATAAACTACCTGTAACAAAAGATTGTGGTGATTGTCATAAGCTGAAGAATCAAATAAATCAAAACTGTTGGTAATATTGTTGTTTATTTGAGACTGAGGTTGATTGGATTCTCCTGCCCAGTATATGTCAGGAGCCCTAAATGTGAACTGTTGTGCGGATGTTGGTTTTCCATATAATCCAATTACTTTCTAATGAAATTAAATTTTAATAATGTTAAAAGTTATAACTTATAAAAATATTTGCATTACTACTCAGCTAATGAAAATTGACAAAATGCAAAATGTAAGTTATAGTATTTATGGGTTTTTCTTAACCCTAGAGCACACGCTTCACGGTCAAAAAGACCGGGCTTTTAGAATTTTGTTGATTGTTTCAAAAATATGAAATATTAACATAATCCAACCTAGGTGCCTTATAATTAGGTAATTTACCTAAAATTAAATACAACTCCCAACTATATACGATCTGATGTCAGTAATATATAAGTGTTCAAAGTTCATTACCAGGCATTACGTATTAATATACGTTCAAAAAGACTGTGTAGGTGATCGTAAAAAATTAAATATGGGTTATTTTTAGACTGTGTTTCTAATAATTGCTGCTCGATAAATGAAATTGATAGTTATTATATTTTCATTGTGACTGGTTAGCTGACCATGATTTGCGCCATACTGTGTGTGACTAAAAAGACCGTGTGCGTGTATTCTAGTGAATATTTTAAATGCGTGTGATCTAGGGTTAAAGTATGGCATTAAACAAGTGTTAAGACAATAATATTTTTTTTTTTAATTTTTTTTGCTTTGATTAATATTTTTTGAAATTTTTATCATGGAAATTATTTTATGCTACAAAATACCCGTAGCCATCTTTGATATGAAATACGAGCAGAAGATGTTTTGGTAGATGAGGTCATAATAGTATCAGTTGGCACTGGTCCCCAATTACAGGTATTGAATTCACTGATTGAATGTCTTGAACCATCCACACACAATAGTTCTAAATCGTCTTCTCTGATTTTACCTAAATTTTTAAATGGTAAAAATATTTTAGATATTTTATAAACAAGAAAAACAATCTGTCTAAACAACTTCAATCATATATAAATATAATATATAGAATGATTGGTCATATTTTATATCTTACTGAATAATGATGGATCCTTTAACATTTCCAATACAGTTGTATGTCGTAAAAATGCGATATCACCTGCCTCAATTAAACATCTGAACGCTCCTTCGTCACCAGCATATGGGTCGTTTGATGTACATTTTTGGCCAGAAACTTTGCTGGCGCATAGAGTACATAAACGGGCAGAATTATCACCTAAAACAATGTTTATAAATAAGTACTTTGTATGTCTAATTAAAATGTCTATGAAAATATAATTAGCAACAGTATTAAATATAAAAATGAATTACCCATTAGGTTGTACTTGGCACTTAATGAATTTACAGCACAACTGTGACCAAAAAATTCTACAGTAGTTTTCACATGGTTATTACAGTCAACAATTTTCATATAGCCTTTAGAAATAAGCTGACAATAAAAATACAAATATTATTAAAAGATTATAAACAGATTAATCAATTTTGAATGATGGTTACACTTACAGTATTTATTGGTACATTCCATCCAGCTTGAGTACCAACCCCAGCAAAACAAGCCTTTTTACCCTTCAAATCCCCAAGGTTATACACGTCTTCTAAAGTGTTCTTTTTTATTAAAGCAACAGAGTAATATTCAGTAGAGCCATCTGAAAAAAAAATTATAAAACAATATTTAGATTTGTAAATAAAATATGTCTAAGCATTAAAATAATTGTTAATTGTATTTAAAATGTATTTATTAATACCTTCAAATATTTGTTGCATTAATGGTATCAAACCATTATATCGGCCACCAACATATACTTCTCCAGCGTCTAAACTCAAAATATCTGCTGCGTTGTTCTCTAACTTCATCATACAGTCATCTTTATTAAGTCCCTAAAATGTTTTGATTAAATAAATTAATAAGTGTATTGTATATTGTATTAACTAAATATATGAAAACGAAAAAATATATGAGTTATTCGGTTACAATAATTCAAACAAAATCTCTATTAAATTTGTATTATGAAATTAAATCTGTATGAGAAACTTTAATTTCAAGTTAAGTATTCAAGAATAAAAATGTTTACATATATAAGTATATTTTAATATATATTTAGTATCAGAACGATATTATTACATTATTATTAATATTAACTGCTTCTATCATTCATATCATAGGCATACACAAACACGTCATATTATATATTATAATCTAATACATAAATACTAAAAGTTATATATTATATACTTTCAGATAATTTCTCAGGATTTTTAAACTAAATTCTTGATATAAAAGTTAACAGTAAGAGATTCCAAACTGCAGATTGCGTCGACTCAGATATACTGTATTTAAATGTACTAATATTTTATAGGATGTGGTAAGAATTGTATTTTACTATCTTAAAATATTACATATACATTTTCTATAAAATTAAATGAAAGGTAGAATGAAAATACTGAAAATATATTTAATTTAGAAATAAAATAATTTAAGCTCAATAATAAGATTATTGAACATGATTATTTCTAATGAAAACAATTAAATAACCATAATGTTGATAAAATGATTTTAAACAAAGCACTATTGTGTGTACCTATATAATCAATAATCATTATAAATTAGTTTGTCATTGAATATTATTTTAAGCACTTTCAAAACATAGACATTACAACTATTATTTTTTCCATGATATACATATTACATATAACTATATACCTCCTAATAGAATATTTCAGAATTTCTGATTTTTTATGCCATTTTTATAAATTTTCAATAATTATTAAAAACCTTGTAATAATCTACTGAACAAATGATGGTCAATAATGAAAAAATGGAATTTATGCTCAAGGTAATTTATCTAACCTAGATTTTTACTTTAAAAGTCTACCTGATGAGTACATGATTTTGCAGTACACAAATATTCTATCATAAAATAGATTAATGCACAACATTACAATAAATTGACATATTATTGTATTATAAATGTTGAATCTTAAAAATACATATATGAATACTCAGTACAAAATTACTAGAGATATTTAGTAACATATTATAGTAATATAGTAGTATATATTTATAGTTGGTATATTTTATTTTTACCGGACACCATTTTTTTTTGTTTTTGTTTTTTACGCATTGTTAATCATGCTTAAAACGACGAGAAAGTCAGAATATGGCAGTCAAATTAAGTTCTGAAGTTATAACTGTTTAAAGTCCGAGACCCACCCAAAGTGTATATACATAATAAATCAAGGGATGTTTTCGATTTTAATTGACTGGGCGAGTGATGAAAGGTGTATAATATGTATGAAAATGCTATAAATGCCAAATTCTGACTTCACCACCATTTTGAGTATGCTTATTTACATACGTTAAAACAAAAAAACATGGTAAAAAGTATCCGGGAAAACAGAAAAGTTCCAACAATGGTAAAATGGATTTTTTTTATTTCTATTTAAAGTGATTTTACTGAAAATAGTAAATATTATATAAAATAAGACAAAAGAAGTATTTAAAAATGAGTAGACGGTAAGTATTTGATTTTAAATACAATTATTTTGAGAAAGTATTTTAGTACTTAGAATTTTAGAATACTTTTTTCAAAAACATTTTTTTTGTTGTTTTTATATATAGCTATCAGCACAAGACTATTATAGCTAAACAATTACATAATATATACATATGTGACAATATTAAACAATAAACTATAAACATTTTATATGATAATAATTGTATTACGACAAGATTAGATTATTTTTCAAAAAGATTTAGAATATAAATTATGTTTGAATACCTATAAAGTATTTGAATTGTACCTTGTACCCAGGCGCATCACAAAACTTGTACCTTTAATTTGTCTAAAATTAAATATTTACCGGCTTGCAAACGAGTTCCATAAAATCTTGTGGCTCAAATCTCTGTCTATCTCTATCGATAGCTGCAGACAAATTTAAACATTTCGATTGTTCTTGGACATTTAAAGTACACCAAGTAATACAATTCATTTTATCGTTTTGTAGATCTGATATATCCCCTGTAAGTGATTTATAAAACAAACATAAAATATTAATAGCGGATAGGAATAGCTGCCATTAGACAATATATTCTCCAAGCATGCTCAGTCCCATTGTTTTGCATTTGTATATTTATTAAATTATGTTTTTTTTTTTTTTTTTGGAATTTTTAAGTATAAGTACTTAAAGAGCATATTTTAATATTCATATATTTCAATTTTTATCTCAATTATCCTTATTTGTTTTTTAGTAGATATATGGATTTGAATGACTACTCATTCAAATTTGATTTATATAAGTTAACAATCAAATTTATTTTGTCATAGGATAATCTTTACATGGCATCAAAAATCCTTGGTAATTTTGGATATGACTTTTAAGGTATCTACCTATCCAATAATCCCAAAGAATTATTAGAATTTGACAAAATAAATTCAAAGAAAATTAATAATTAGGTATTAATTGTATTAAAGAAAAAATGGGAGCGTGCATGCTTGGTGAATCACCAAATCCCAGAAAAAAAATCCCCAGACTACAATATTAATCACTACCAAATGCAAATGGTTGAACAAATAGTTTTTAAACGTTAATTAGTATCTATAATATTACCTTTTACCACATTATTAATATTTAATTACAAATACATATCTTATAATATAATATTATATTATTAAAATAATTATACATTATAAATAATATTTTGTTTTAAATTACGATAATAATATTATATTATGTGTAATTAAATGTAATTTCAATTATGTGTAACTTAACAACTTCACAAATATAGCATATAAAAATATTTCGAATGATCAATATGCCAAATAAAACAATTAAAAACATAGTACACAAAACTATTATACAAAATATGGGTAATAATAATAATAATTATCAAACAATAATTTGTATAATGTAGACACCTACTTACAGTAAAAAGAGCATAAAAAAATATTTCAAGTGATCGGCTTATTTAATTAGTCAACAAGAATGTTTAAATTGTTTTTTTAATGTTAATGTATTACACCAGGTACAAAATAAGTATATTTGTTAAATTCAAAAAATTGTATAGTATTTTTGAAAATGTAACATAGGTAGTGGCACTACCCTAAGTTAGTTTAAGTTAGAGATAAAATAGGTTTTTCATAAAAACCTATTAAAAACCTACTATATATACCTACTTTATTTTTATGTTATGTTCTTACTGTGAGTAGGTGACTACATTCAATAAATTATTGTTTGATAATTATTTAATTATTATTATTACTTACTGTTATCATTACCACCTATATTTTCAATTTTGTATAATATTTTTGTATACCTACTAAGTTTTGAACTGTATTATTTGACATATCGATCACTCGAAATATTTTTATGCTTAATATATTTGTATACATTACACCACACACAACAACCATAAGTAACATTCGAGGTTTTGAAAAAGTAATATTTTTTATTTCGGGAATTTAATTTTTTCTTAATTATAGGTACCAACATAAAATGTCGTTGTTAATTTTTCGAGGGATTTGTATTCTGATTACCGAATCACCATGTATATTATGCATACGGACATAAATGTGTTAATACTTACCATGGACAAATGCAATGTTTGCCGAAACTAAACAAACAGCCAAAAAGGTTAGGTAATTGTTGGATGTCTTCATTGTATGTTTTTGTGGTGGAAACATCTCTTTAATACATGACAAACCCAAAATTACCTATATAAATCAAATACTGAATGAAACGCTACGAATTTATGAATCTGAAGAAAGTTTACGTCCATTATCCATGAAGACACGATGATCAATACTCACTATATAGTCACTGGTAGTGTCTGGTACACTCCGGCACTAGTACTTAAATATATAATTTAGATTTATTATAGATTAATTGAGTGTTATTGACAACTATAGACAAGAGAATGGACATCCGACATTTGGAAACGTATTGTTTTTGTAAACTTATAAACACGATTATTCGTGCTTGTAAACAAATAACCGAATGATAAGTGATAACCGCCACAGGTGGGCGCAGCAGGACGTTTGCCCTGCCCGAAATTGCTGTCATGGACGAAAAAATTAAAAATCGTGATTGATAACGTCTGCCGACAATGCGGTACAAATTTCGATAAAGATAATATTAATTTCATTGATAATATTTAATGTCTAGTGTCCACAAGACGTCTGTCTATAGTCTATTCTGTCCAATACAGTAAATAGTAATTTCTAAACATATTAACCTATGCAAATATCTATTAATCAATTGGGTATTTATTATTTATTAAAATAATATATTGCAATAAAAAAAAAGAAAAACCTAGCAGTTTCAGGTGGTGTATTTCCAGCTAGTGGACTCGAAGAAAAGTATTTGTAAGTATTTAGTTTACAAAAATGTTATAACGTATTTACCTATAAAAACGATTGTAATTTGTTCCCATGTATTTGTTGTTTGTCGCAGAACAGTTTTCCAAATGTCAGTCACAATGTTTGGAACTTGTCACAAATTACTGAAAGGTAAATAGTAAATACCTATTGTATTTTAATAGTTGATTGACCATTATACAATTATAAGTGTCTAAAGAACAATTAAATGTGTTTTTTTCATTAGTTGTTTTAGCTTTTAAATTATCATTAATTTTAGTTAGCTATTTTTTTCATTATTTATAAGTTTCTTCTTATATTCATGTATTTACATATTATGTTAGTTATAATGATTGCTTCTCCTCTCTGTGGTCTGGGACTGGTGATAAGTTAAGTTGAATTATTTTTTTTCCAGCATAAAATACTCTCAACATTTTTACCTAAAAAGAACCATATTCATTTTTAAAAATGACTTCCAAGTTCAGACAGAGTTTCAAAGTTGTCGACAAAGCTCTTTTGCGATGGTTCCCAGGCCACATGGGGAAAGGTATGAAACAAATGCAGCAAAAATTGAAATCAGTTGACTGTATCATTGAAGTCCATGATGCCCGAATTCCACTTTCTGGCCGCAATCCAGATTTTAAATACTCTATTTCAGGACTGAAACCTCACATTTTAGTATTGAACAAAATGGATTTAGCTGATCTAAATTATAAGCAGAAAGTTGAAGAAAAAATTATGCTTGAACAGAAAATATCAAAAATAATTTACACAAACTGTAAAAATTCTTTATGTCCAGGTGTAAAAAAAATTATGCCTACTGCATTAAGTCTCATAAAAGGATCAAATAGATATAACCGTTCAGAAAACATTGATTCTCGAATAATGGTTATTGGTGTGCCTAATGTGGGAAAATCATCTTTGATTAATTCTATTAGAAACACAATTCTTGGGAAAAAAAGTGCTGCTCCTGTTGGAGCAGTAGCAGGTATTACTAGAGCAGTCCAAAATCAAATTAAAGTGAGCCATGACCCATTAGTTTATGTTCTTGATACACCTGGAGTAGTTTCTCCAACAATTAAAAATGTTGAAACTGGATTAAAACTTGCATTGTGTGCGACTTTACAAGATCATCTTGTCGGTGAAGAGATAATTGCAGACTACTTGTTGTATTGGTTTAATAAGAATAATTATTTTGATTATGTTTCATACTTAAATTGTGATGAACCTACTGATGATATACGAATAGTGCTAGCAAAAGCTGCAATTCATCGCAAGTCTAGTATCAAGTATCTAAACTTTGATGGATCGTATATTTATCGACCTGACATGCAAGGAATGGCTAGAAATTTTCTAAATGCATTTCGTACAGGAGTTTTTGGAAAAGTACTTTTAGATAATGATTTGCTGTAAAAAAAAAATATTAGTTTAAAATAAATAAACATTGCTTACATTTTTTGATGAAATTATTTTTGTTGTATTTAAAAAATATATATATATGTTTATAAGTTATAACTAAAATAATTAATTTCTTAATATGTAGGTGGTTATAGTTTTGTAAATTATATTCATTCTTAATCTGGTAACTTTATCTTTCACTATTGGAATTATATTTATAAGATTCAACAAGAGGCATTGTTTGGCTGCTTTCCCAACTTAGGTCTTGAAATAAATTTAAGTATTCCACCCATTAATGTAAATACAAATTATTACATCATTGATTCCGACAGTTAGTTTGAATAAATAATAATTAACAGCTTTATTTCATCTTGTTATTTATAACAAATGCATTTCATTTTTCTTTAAGTTTATACAATATTGTCTAAGGCTATAATAGAAGTCTAATTTTACTGCAGAAAATCAAATATTATGTGTTATTTTATTTTTATTTTATGCTTCATACAATTACGAAAACTCCATTGTGACATTGAGAAATGAGAATACACTTGAAAATATATTTCCTCCCATTTTTATTTAAATAACTTTTTTAAACAATACCTATGTAAGAACGTGTTTTTTTCTGTAGCACATACAAAAACGACCGGTATTAAAATATTGGTAGAGCAGCCCTTAATAATAATATTGAAGAGTAAATAAAGTATACAGGTTAAAATATATTTTTTGGAGTAAAATGTTTTAAAAATAACATTTTAGATCTTTTAATTACCCAAGTTTGATCTATAGAATGATAAATAATAATTTATAAAATTAATAATGTATTATTTATTATGTTTTTTTTTAATACTAGTTAATGGTGAATATTTAGTTAGTACTTACCTATTTGCTAATAAAATACTTTAAAATTCATTAAAATTGAAACACGTAATAATATAAATATAATATATTATTATATAATATTTTATTATACCTACTTACGCGTACGAGCTATACTGCAGTCCATCTATCAGAGCATTCTGTTAGGTTATTCCATGCACATTGCACATATTTAAAGATACCTACACTGAAATATCACGATTTCTTTTATTAATTGTGTTTTAAAATATGTCTTACAATAAGTACCTAGGTATAGTAATGGTTTTATGTAACTAATTTGCATATTTATATGTACATATTATGTACTCTTATATTTGAAATACATTATTATTCAAGACGCGTTTTGATTTAATTTGCAAAAAAAAAAAATTCCTAATTCATTCGAAACTGTACATAAATATTTTTATATTATTCCTGCGTTTTAATTTTATTCTGTAGGTAACTTATTTCTTAAAATAAAATATTTGAAATGAATAATCTAATAGACCTTAAACTCTTGTTATAATATTTTATTGCATTTAAAAAAAAAATCTTGTATAAATGAGAATAATTTGTAGTACTTACGAATTACGATATTGTTGTGTTTATTTATTAGTACTGTAAGATAGGTACTTCGATCTTTGTTGTGTAGTACTTACGATTATAATAATATGTAAACTAAACTTATGAAACAATAAAATTGTATTTAATAAAATAAGAACGTGTTGTACAGGTATTTTTTATCAGAGTATCTATTGTGAACAATGTACATAGTCGAACAATATAATTGTCTTATAATTTATTATAATTTATTTAATCCTTATTTAAAATATCACTAATTATCTAGTGATTTTATGGTTAATTAATAGAAATATACGCACTGTATGTTTATTTATTCAGGGATAAGTATTGGCGTAAGCACGAGGTACATGGGTAGGTTCCGAACAAACAGATTTAACCCATGGACCAATTTGCAAAAAACCATTGGCCAAAAAAAAACGGAAGCAATAGACGGAGACGTGCAGGTGTTTAAAAGTGAGGTAGGTACTATTGTTACTTATATATTATGTATTATTAATTGTGAGGTGCCTATACATAAGTGTATAATATATTTTTACTCGGCACTCGTTTGAGTTGATTTTTATTTTCAGTACGCGTATAAAATATAATCTTATATTCTCTACTCACTGTATTACTATAATTTCTTTAAATTGTGTTTTGTCAAGCATTTGGTTAACATACCTAACCCGTACGAAAAGGAAAAACGTTTGTGCATTCTCTGCAAAATGAATATTGTTCCGGACTACAAGAACACCAGGATGTTATCGCAGTTTATATCCCGTTTTACTGGTCGTATTTACGGCAGACACATTACAGGTCTTTGCCGACACAAACAAGACCACGTTGAAAAAGAAATCAAAAAATCCAGGGAAGCAGGTTAGTACCTATATACTACCTATATACTTTATAGATCCTGCATCCCCAGTGTTATTCCGCGTATTCCTTTCATTGTAAATAATTATACATTTATACGTGTGTTATTTATTTTTGTTTTATTTCCCTCGTGTCTTTTCAATATTATTACACATTTACACCTAATTTCCGGTCGTAGGTTTAAACATTGACCGAAATGCGTGCAATTATTTTTGTACTTACAACATAGTACTGACTCACGTTTGGCGTAGGTTCCTTCTTTCTATCCAATTTTTAACCGATGTCAAGACCCAAGGCATATTTATGTAAAACCATTAGCTTCCTACTATACTCATATATCCCATACTCTTGCCTGATAAATCTACAATACATTATTCCCACAGTTGTATAATATATAACCAAAATTAAATTCTGAATTTCAGTATGGACATCGACTGTATACGTACTTTTTAACGGTGATTTTGATAGTTTATTATTTTGTTTTCAGGTTTGATGCCGTTTTATTTCAGAAATCCAGAATTTAGCCATGACCCTAAACTGTTTGACCCTGACAATCCTTTTAGACCTCATCATTATTAATGTTACCAATCAGATAAAAAATAATGTTGTATATTAAAAATCAATTGTTCAGTTCAATAACAATAAAATGTAGCTGTGCGTTTTACATGCAAGTATATGAAATGTGATTTAGTTTCTATAAATTAATTGGCACTTTTATTTTTTTTATTTCACACGAAATTAGTATATTGCTATTATTAAGTAATTACTATAATATAGTGATATAATAATACAATGTACGACCTTATAATAAATATATATATATATATATATATATATATTATCATTGATTATAATATATGTTATAACATCGATTATCAAAGGCCAGTAATTAGACATAAACTGCAGGCACAGTAACTCGGGGAAACAAAAGTATAACCTCAGTTAGGTGCACCGGTCCGTTTCTATATACTATTTAGATCACGGGTAAACAATCAGCTGATTGAGTGTCATTTCAATATTGTTTATGCCATACAGCGGAAAGGAGGGCTTCAATAAAATTAAGAGGACGCCACACCAGCGTCGTTCACAATAATCCATTTTACTTTATTTCTTTTAAAATTAGATTGAATTGGCTTATTAATAAATTGAAAGGTAAGATTATCTTTTTTCTTATGTTTTGACTATGGGGCATGTTATGAGTGAGCGGGTAAGTACACTTATGGATGTCGCTCTGCTGTACAGTGCAAGTGGTTCACTGTAATGGATGGTATTACATTCTAATTCAATGAAATATAGGTAATATTATTGTATACGAAAAATGATTCAGAGCGGAGACGGTTTTCCAGTCTAAGATATTTTATATTATATTTACATTATTACTTATAAGTTATATTATTAAAACGGTAGCCAGTAAGTCGAATTAATATTATAAAATTACAACAGTCAACAAAATAACTAAAAATCGTTATTCTTGGTTATTTAATATGTAATTTCGCCCAAATTTTAACTTAAAATAACTATAAAAAAAAAAACTATAGTCTATGTGTATTTTTTAGATTTTTTTGGTTACAGAATAAACTACTTATGAGCTTCCTCTTTGTTTTAGATTTTCAATCCTTAGCTATTAACATTTTGCAAATTTTTAACTACAAAATCAATTTTAAATTAAATTGTTAGCACTTCCGGACAACCCAGCCAGTTGCCTAAAACGTGAATGGCTCAATACCTACGTACATCACACTTTGCGTGTATTATTATTTCTCTCTAAAATTACCACTAATGTCCAGGAGTTTCTAATGTGAAAGTTGTATTCAATTATGTATTCTTCACCGCCTCATTTTATATTCATTACATTACTAATTTACTTATTGTACCATTTATTAGATATATATGGTACATTTTCACTAAATAAACAACATTTTTTATATAAAAAAAAAGAATTTAATTTGTTACATTTTGTCAAAAATCGAACTTTCTATATGCTTATAAAAATCAAATGTCTAAATATTTTTTATATGTTTCAACTGCTATTGTAACAATATATCAGGAGCCTTATATTAAATTGTCATGCTTTTTGACCCTACAAATACAATTTTATTGGCTATAAAAAAAAAAACAAAAAATTTCTATAAACAGCTCAAAGCAAGTCAAAATATTTGAAAATTGTATCAAGTATATTATGAATTGATAAAATAAGCATGTGGTGTAAATTTCAAGTACCTATCTACATTAATTCGTTTTTGAATTACAACAAAATAATAAAATCGTTACATGAAAAATGGAGTGATTATCCAATCTTGTAAAAATATGAACTTTAAACGCTCATAAAAATGTAATTTGATTTGCTTGTAGGCATTTTTTTTTTTTGATCAAGGTAGACAAACTTTTGAGGAATCTTGTATTACATTTTCAATTGTTAGATTTAAAAAGAAAAATTTTATGAATTCTTAACTCAAAATAATTTGCTAATTTTCGTGATTTTTCCGTATTTTGATAAGATTTGAACTTTAAATGCTTATAAAAAAATCTGTGGCTAAGGATTTTAACTATTATTTTTCATCTGTCTTTGAAACAATATATTAGGAGTCTTCTATTAAATTTTAAAGATTTTTTAACAGTAGTAGGTACCTACTATAGTTTTGAATTTTGCATTTATTGTATTTTTCTTTAAACTATTCCACTTACAATATAGGTACTTAATCTGGATAAGGTTAAAATTATATACTTGGCAGAACATTCTTTGTATAATAATCGGTATAGGTGCATAATATTTATAGGTAAGGTGACTGCGTATTACAGACAATACGAAAAATTATAATGATTAGGTACCTTTCATTTCGAACAATTATTGTTACTATACCTACCCCTAAAGTCTAAACCATCATAATATGTTATATAGGTAACTATGTAATAAGTTATACCTACCTAAACCAAAAATGGATTTTTCTCAGGGAATTTGACCAATAGCGAATGGCGTGACAGATTATTTCGAATTTGAGATCGGATTACACGGGTAGTTTCATCCCGGATGAAACTAATGTTGTGCAGATCTTGACCTCGTATGGACTTTGGCCGGCTGAGGTGATAACAATAAAGACGAAATGAATGGGATTACCTTTCATATAGTAAACGAATATGATGGGTTGCTTCTTATATTACACAAGAAATTCTCACTGACCATGCAGAATCTAGCTGATAAAATTGCACGCGCATAGAAAATTGCAGTCCAATACCTTCATCCGCAGTAAATCATTGTTAGGAAATAATTAAATATTTATAATAAGTATAATATATAATAATTAATAATAATATATAAATCGCAAAATTATATTATATTTTTAATTTTATATTATATTACATATTATAAATATATAATATTATAAAAAAATAACTTAACTATATTTAAGCCATTTAAGTATGTAGGTATAATGTGTACATATAATATATACATGTATATATAGCTAGGTGCCTACTTATACCTATTAATGTGCTATAAATCATAATGACGTACAGTTTCACTGAGAATTCAAATTAGTAGATACCTAATAATTTAGAATATCTAGGTACCTTTCTACCTATACCTACATATTATATTACATATTAAAACACATCTGCAAGTCACAAGCTACTGAATAGAAGTCTGCGGTATGTTATTGTAGTACGGATTGAAGTTGTGTACTCGTAAAGTCGTATCACGTGTGTAGAATTGGGAGACAAACAATAAAACCCATTGTTTTTTTTTGTTTTTTTATTAAACTTGTACAGTTTTGCACGCGGATTGAACTCGAGATTATTATATTAGTGTTCGGAAAAAACTTTGACGCCGCTTCTTGTGAACGGCTTATTATATACCTTACGTCCTTACCTACTTCGACGCAATCGGGTCAACGACCAATGACATAGGTATTCTGACGAGTAGCCACCAGAAACCAACAAATTACCTACCTATACGGCTATACCTGCTGACAAGAAAACGAACAAGTTAACTTATATTTATACTACATAGTGGCCGTTTAATGAATAAAAGCAATAAAGAGGCTTTATAGTACATGGGTAGGTACATCAAAACCTGCAACAGGAGTAGGTTAGGTTACCTACCTAAATGACAATACAAGAATGAGGTAATATTGATGACACAGCCGTTGGCAAGCAATTTATTGAAAAAGCAGAACCTATACCATGGAAATTACTACAGACAGCGGTGGTACACAAGGACTTCAATAAATTACTATTTCCACAACGAATCCTAGTGCCTTTAATATAAAGACTATTCATCATTTTGATGTTTGGGTCATGCTCGGCCGAATCACTATACGTCACGCTGACGAAGTGGCTTTTCTTTTTTCTATACCCTGTACATTTTTAATTAAAATTCTTAAGGGAACAATATTGAGAATACTATAATACCTAGTAACTTTATCTCTATCGTTTGATTGATCGAATATTATTGTTTTTTTAATTTTTTTTTTTATTTTAATTTTTTTTTATGAACCTCAGTTATTTAACATTTCTTAACATTTTGAGAACTTGTTAAAACTTAAAATCCTTTTGTTCTTTATTTGTATTTGTTTTTTTTTTCATTTTACCATAAAATTATCCAATATACTTTCACATTCATCTTCTACCCCTGCCACTAAAGTACGATTTACCGTTTTGTATTTTTCAATATATTTTCTGATTAATAAACTGTCTTTTTGGACACTGTAAGTTACTCTGACTGTATACTAACGTAAATTACTTTAAGAGAGTTGAATTTGATTAGGTAAAAAATTTACTCCTGAGACGAAATTTATTATTTTTCACTTTGAAACTATATTATATTGTTTAATTTATACTATCTACAGAGTAATAATATTATTAGATAGGTAGGTATGCAATTTATTATATTTTATTTACCGCTATAATTTCATAGTTATACTATAATATGCATAGCTAGTTAAATATAAAATAGTTAAACAATATACTCAATGTAGGTTCATGTAAGTTCTTTAGTTAATTTAAGTGGAAATAAAACATTTTTTTCGTCTATCTAAAAATATTTAAATAATTTTCCAATAATATTTTAAAAACCAAATTTTTAAAACATTTACCTAATACATCCTCTATAATAAATTATCTTTGCTGTAATTATCCATGTAAATACATTTTTGGTGTCAAATTTACCATTGGTAATAACTATTGCACCAAAGTAATTAGCTGTAAGTATTTTACATTTTGAAATCGACTGTCTAGATTAAAAATTAATCTAAATCATCACATAGTAATAAAGTTGCCCTCTTTTTTTAAAATTTGTTTTATAAATACGATAAAATTTAACATAGAAATAAAATAATACCACAGAGGTTTTTTTACCAAGTAATATTTATTAACAACTAGATAGTACGAAGAATAGATTGTATAAAAAAAGATTAAAAATGAACATTAATTGCTTTGTTGGGTAGACTAGGCACTGTTTCGGTATACCAAAAGGGTGGGTGTGCTGTCATATTAAATCTGAAAGCAGTTGTTTTTTTTCTTTCTAAAAAAAATTCCGAGCATCACTTTTTTAGCAGTTTTCCCCAATTGTACGATAAAAAAAC